GCTATGACGTAATAGTTTTTATTACTTTACGCTTTGAGAATAACTGACTAGTTGGTTTTACTAACAACCTGAAATAAGACTTGTTGAGAAGTTCATAAGATTTATAATTGAGTTTATTATTACCATTGCTCACTTTTATTCTTTGAGCGTGTAACACGATCGCAAATTTGTAGAAATATTTCAATTTGTTTTCGTTTTCAGAGGCTCAATCGCTTTTAACACGACCTAACGAGGAACTTCCAATGAAATGGGAAATCCGATTATCAATCACGAAGTTTTATTCACCAAATTGGGAAAAGTATGTAAGTTTCAATTTATTGAACTTAATAATTCTGCGTTAAATTGCAAAGAGCCTAGATTAATGCTTATTTATTCTCATTTACATACATGTTATATTCTCAGAATTCATATGAAACAGCCGTGCTTTGAAAAATCGGTATGAAAAACCACAACCGAACCACAATTACTTTTGCTCCCCCTATCCCGCCTCAATCTCCAAATCTCAAATGTCCGGCAATGCTTTAGTAACTCCTCTAGTGTCTAGTGTATGTAATGAAATTATTTCGAGGAAAAAAAATCGATCTGGCTAAGCTTAATTTTCAGAAAAAAGAAGCTTAGCTCAGTCATTAATGTAATACAAATGTAAATGTAATAAAAGTGTGAATAATTTAGAACTTTTTATCGTAATACTGTTAATATATTGCAGAAACAGAAAAGGTTAAACACTTTGCTTAACTGGGCGGTGTCACTTAGATGATTATTTTAATGTAAACTTTTTAGTAAATATCCCATTTCAACTGAAAATTATTTCACCCAAACGATAAAGGCTAAGTATAATGAAATCACACAACCAAGTGATTTCCTTTTGTCACCTAGAAAACAATAAAGGTGAATTCTTCTTCGGCGGCTAAAAGTTTTGCGATCGGCGATCGCTGAGACGCCACGTTCGATACAAAAAGAATGGTCACAGTTGTAACCTAACCTATTCAAATTTGTTATATCTGCGTAAATTAATTCCCAGGTGAGATGAGGGCACCAAAAAGCTGTCTTGGTTCACCTGGATGATAGCAATCAGGTAAACAAAGTGTAATATTGTAAGCCGCAGAATGTTGGAATGAGGCAATTTTGAACTGTAAGTCATAGTATTATGATTATTAGGCATTATTGAATGTAAAAATCCGAATTTTTTTTTGAGATTGACCAAATTGTCCCATATACGCACATCACTCGCAGGCCCGTAACAACATGTTATGGATCACACAAAGAGTTGTTCTGTGTGAAAATGGGTGTCGCGACACGTTGCGCAGCCATCGCGTCAACCATGCAGAATTAAACCCTGCGCCCGTTCCTTCTCCTGCTCAACGTTGGGGTTTCTTATTGCACTTGACCCGCAACCTCTACAAATATTTTGCCTACTTAGTGAATTAACGTCCACTGGTATACAAAAGGGTTTGTCATAGTTGAGTTGTTCAACGTTTTGTGACAATGTTGTAAAACGTGCAAAATGTTTTATATTCCACCAACACAGCTCTCTACATCTCATAAAATCCTTAATTTTAATAATTACAGCCTGATTGCCGCCATGATTTTATATGACCAATTCTAAGGCCGATCTTGTTATATGCGTATTATAATTTCTCATTCGCCTCTATCGTGACGTTGTTATCGACTTAATTTATTGATAGACGACTTACTCACGTCACTGAGAAAATCTTTTCTAGTTCCAAGTCATAAATTTAGTATGTCGCACGATAGTTACTATTCAAAAATTGTAATCGACTTTTTTAATACCGAGCTTGAAAATAATGAAACTTACTTTTCTTCGATCAAATTATAGTCAAGTCTTATGTAAGGCAGGCAATAAAAGTTGGTATTTTCCACTCATTTGTAAATAATTTCAATTTTAAAAGGTTATAAGTATACCTAACTGTGTCTCAAGTAACGTACTGAATTAATCATTCGTTAGTTTAAATTTTACAAGTGATGAAACAATCATGCTACATTTTAGTTGAAAATCTCATTTTTCAAAGCAAGTAGCACATAATATTACACTCGATAAAACATAGGAACAAACGCGTTTCATAATGAAATATCTAGCACGCTGGAGCCCTTAAACTTTCCCACTATAATTCACTAGAAAAATTACAGTATTCACTTAAGACGCTATGTAGAAAGGTAACAGAAAATTAACAATATAACTGATAATGATGTATGTAGTATGAGGATTTTCAAGTACCTTGTAACTATATCTATTAAAAGTATGAACAAATTAATAAGTATTTTTTTACTACTACTTCTACTTATTCATTTTACAAAAACAAACAAGTACAAAAAAGTAAGAAAAGAGCCTTTCCGTCGTCGTGTCTTATGTTATATGTGTTTGTAAGTTTGAGAAAGAGAAAGCTCATCTCTCATCACCCATGCTCATCACCCAAGACTCGACTGGTAGAAAATGCATTAGGTATTAAATGCCTATGTATCCATTGTACATGAAGTTTTAATAAATAAATAAAATAAAGTGTTTACGAATCAGAGCGCCAATCAGATTGGAAATAAAAGAAAATGTGATTTACTTACTTTGTTCGTCGTTAGAGAGAGAGAGAGAGAGAGAGAGAGAGAGAGAGAGAGAGAGAGAGAGAGAGAGAGAGAGAGAGAGAGAGAGAGAGAGAGAGAGAGAGAGAGAGAGAGAGAGAAAGAGAGAGGAAGGCCTCCCCTTTCTATATCTTTTGGAGGTAGAAGATAAAGAATAATCATATATCAATATAATACTGTGAAAAGTGTGTGTGTGAAAAGTGGTTCAAACTCTTTGACATCATGACGTCAATGGATGGTTGTCAAGCGTTGCCTAGAGATTGTAAATTTCGTCGTGAATTGTTAACACGAGTTGGTGTAATCAGTAAGGCGTGTGGATTACACCACAGAGACGCCGAGTTCGAGTCCCGCCGTAAACATGAAGTTTTTTAGTTGATAGAAGTTTTGTCGAACTTTCTGGAATTATTTGTGTGAAAGAAATGAAAAATTAAAGAGCGAGAAGGAGAATAAATAAAAATGAATAACGAAATTATTGGAAGGTTCTGGAGGCATGACGATCAAAAAGAATAACGAAATTAAATGTTCCAGAATCTGACCGGGGGTATATAAGCGGAACTGCGGCTCACCGCTGGCAGTTGAGTTCGAAGTCCAAAGCGATTCGGAAGAAAAGGAAGAAGTGAAAAAGAAGAAAAGTGAGTGAAATAGTGAAGTGCAGTGAGTTAAGTGAAAGTCAGCGTGAACTGTGAGCGGCAAACGGAAGTTTGTGTCAGTCGCCCGGACTCTGCTGGAGAGGAACGCCGAAAACTTAACTCGGTGGACGCTGTCATTTAATTTAAGTGCAATAGAAAGTCTGAAAACCGGTATTAGTGTTTAATTTCATCCAATCCCGTAACCCAAGCCCGCATAGTCAGGAACGTGACGTCAGGCACGTAACAATACGATATTTTTCAAGTTAACCTTCTGTGTATACAACTTCGCAGTTCAAACTAAGGTTGTAACATTACATTGTAGCGTGCCTAGCGCCAAAAGTTGCAAACAGTTCCACGAAAACCGGAGCGTCCCATTATTATCCACACTTTAACTTGGATCTCCATAACTTACTCGTACGAGTACAAATAGGAATTTGCTAACTGCTATTTAGTTACTGAAATTTCCAGTAATGTGCTACTAGACGCTTTACTAGACGGTCAATTTTAATGTCGACTTTAAGCTGTGTCTGTTACGACCTTTTTTAACATTCAATTTGGATTTAGCGCCTTGGAATTTCGTAAGCATGCCCTAACCATTTAGGTCATTTATGAGCGTTGCATATTTATTATGAGCTCCGCGTGCGTCTGTGCCTCCTGACTACTACCAATGGGGCCGATTGGTCAGTATAGGAGAGGTTTTTAATAGGCAAGAGTCTGATTTCCTTTGGACAGAGAAATATTTGAAATATTTGATCAATTCTCCCTGCCCTCCAAAATAGTTAATTATAAAATGCTTTGAAATTATATCATGTACTGCAGTTTATGAGAAATGGCCTTGTACTTACAGTATGGGAGTACAATGGTTGAATAATGATATATAATAAACTCTAAAGCATGTAATTTAAGTATTATTACACGAAGTAAGCAATTTATCATTGCTTCCAAAATAAAAAGTAGGTAATCTTACAAGAGCTACTAGGTAATTTTGTAAACGGCGGGTGGGCAGAATGATTACATTTTAACGAACTCCAAAAAGGTCACGCTTCCGATTCTTTTCATTTTTTTCCTTTGCATAATAATGGAGAAACACTCTCGGAATCAATTCAGAGGGAGCGTTTGTTAGTGCCAACTTTTTGGCCTTGAATTCTTAAAAAGATCTTTCGATTTCTTCATTTCGGTTGGATATTGAATTTAGGTCTCATTTATATGACGACGTTTTTACATGAAAGAGAAACAAACATCAATTTTACTATTTATATGTATATAAATTTTTGCGTTTAAAATATTAGTAGGATTTATTTAGATAATTAGAATTCCAGGTTGCCTTTATCGCATGTCACGTTATTATAAATGATTATATAGAAGATAAAAATGCTTGGAGGGAGGCTGGTTTGACTGCACAGGATAAAAATTGTTAAGGTTAAGAGGAATTTTGATCTCAATTATGAAATTATTCACCATGTTGTTAATTGTTGATAAACTGGATTTTTGTAAATGTGAGAGCCCTGTAACTTATTATAATTGAGTTAGACTTATATACTTATAGTATACTAGCTGTTGCCCGCGACTTCGTCCGCGCGGACGCCGTGAAGCACCAAAAATACTATGCCTGCGTCATTTTAAGTGTAGTTTTTTAGTGAGCAACTTTTAAGATCACATTCCCTTGCAGTTGGCGCTGCAGTATAACTTCACCTCATGAGTACCTCTCATAGCGCAGGTGAATTTTGAATATGGTTTAATTCCTACATCCCACGAATAACAGAATTTAAAGGAACACAATTATAAAATTTCTCTATAAACTACATTTGTAGTTTTGCTCTCAGTAGCCAAAATGTATAGAGAGTCAGGACTGGTGACGCGGGAGCAAGCGACGTACAGTTGTCCGTGTGAGAAGCAGCTCGTCCTTAGGTCGACACCCGCAGCCTTCAGTGTCTGTCCCTGTGACTTATTGATAGTCATCGCGAAGCAAACACTCACAGGGAACTGCACGCGCTTGAACTGGAAGGGGTAGTTATGAGGTATGAGGGGAATGCGTGGTATAAACACTGCCTCGCCGACGCCACAACCCGTCAAAATTTCCGCCTCGATAATATTTGTATGCAGTGAGATGACTTTAAGGCGGGTCCCGTTACACAACTTCGGAGGAGACAGGTTCCGAAGAAGCATGATCGGGACCCCAACTTTCAGCTTGATGTTATGTGCTGGAAGTCCACTTGCTGTGAGGGAGTTGAGAAATTCCACCGGATAGTGTGTGGCGTCATCTTGCTCGACTACGGTGTTTATGGAGGTGTACACCACTTCATTCCCCTCAATTTCCGAGAGAATGCTTTCATTGATTGCTGCAGCTTGATCATTTTTAGGCGTCAAAATGGCCCGCTCGCATGCCCAAGAATTCGGCTGGTGCGGTATTCGACTGATATCCCCGTACACGCAGCGAATGAGTTCATCTAAGGTGGATACCACTCTACCGAGAGATTCTGGGAGCACCACCTGTCCGCCCCTCTCCTCTGGTAGAGTACCGTCGCCGAGACTTAGAAGGACATCAGAGAATTCTTGAGCGCGTGCATTGGCGCCGAGCTGAGCTCTCATATTGATGGTCAAGCGCAGCGTATGAACGCGTGACCATAACGCAGATCGTTTCAACGAAGCATTCACCTCGTCAGCCCTAGATCCCCGCGTTACCACGGGAAGCGTTTGTCGGAAATCACCACTAAACAGAACTGTAACACCGCCCATCAAGTGTTCGTTCCTGCGGATGTCCTGCAGGGTTCTATCCACGGCCTCAACTGCCTTCCTATTCGCCATCGTGCACTCATCCCATACGATCAGAGAGCAATCCTTTAGCACGTGTCCCTTGTCACTGTTGCGTGACACACCACAAACAGGAGTTTCGGTGCTCTCTAAGTCTATGGGAATTTTGAACATGGCATGTGCCGTTTTGCCACCAGGAAGTAGTGTAGCAGCGATTCCCGACGACGCTACAGCAATGGCAATTTTGCCTTGCCTCCTGACCTCTGCAAGTATGCCAGTGGTAACAAATGTTTTTCCTGTTCCACCAGGAGCATCCAAGAAAAACATTTTACCCTGGTTGAGCCCAACGCTTTCAAGGACGATGTCGTAAATTTGTTTTTGCTCTGAAGAGAACAAAGCGACGTGGTCATTTCGTATGGTGGTCATTACGGCCGGATCGTAATGTGTCTCAGCGGCATACTCCCGATTTCCACGGTCTTGACGTAATGGTGATTGGGGAGCTGGTAACCCGTATTCAACCAGTGGATTGCCGCCGATAGAAATGACCACGTCTTGAAGTGAACTGAGACAGGTGTTCAACACGCGTCCATCAGTTACTTCGACTTCATCTTCATTAGCACGCCTCAAAGCTCGTAAAAAATCTTCGGACAGACGATGGCGATACTTCTCCCACAAAGTTACCGGGTTCGCGATTCCACAGAACACCAACATGACGGCGAACAGATGTCGCAAGCGACTGGGACTGTCGCTGATGCTCGCCTCCGCGAGGGTGTCATCCCAGTTTTGGTCACCGTCAAGTAGGTGACGTGCTACGCAGGCTGCGCGGTATGTTGGATACTCCACGTCATCAACTGTCCTCAGAAAGGCAAAAGACGTTGGGCCCCGGACCGTATGAAGCAACAACCGCAGATAATAGCATTCGCCATTGTTCGGATGCACGGTATAAACTCTACCCAATGCGGTGTTCTTAAAAATGCCCGGAAAACCTTCAACTACACCTCCACGTCGACGTCGGTTAAATACACCTCTTTGCTTGTCGTATGTATAATACGACGGCACCTCGTCATACGTGAGCGACTTCGCGAACTGGTCGACTTCACAGAGCCTAAAAAATGCCAAGAGCGTTGTTTGGCGCGGATTTTCCAAGCGCTCTGCAACGTTGTCGGGATCAAAATATATCCGCTGGCCGTTCTCTAGGTGGACGTCTAAATGCATGACCGTAGGATACCTGTCATGTATAGAGAACGCCAGTATCCGCCAAACCGCTTCGGACGTGCTGATATAGCGACCAGACTGGTACTTGGTCACCTCGTCCCTATCAGTGCTCTGTAAAGCAAACGTCGCCTGGTCGCTCCGTTTGTTGACGTATTTGCAGATGTATTTGATCGACTCAACGCTGGTGCATGACTCGACGTTGATGTGCGTCTGGAAGGTCCTGGACAGAACAGGTGAGTATGGAACAATCCATCTGTTGTCGACCTGTTGCACCTGGCCACGTACGCTCAGCTCAGTGAAATGTCCGCCTTCTGCAGGTGGTCGGCGCCGGTATGAAGGATATCCATCTTCACCTGTTATGGTAACATTGGTAAATTTCTTCGGGAATCTTTTTGTACATCGTCCGTCTTTCATGCATGGGGAACTTGGATTTAAAGTGCCACAGGGGCCATGGACCATGTGACTTCTCACAATCTGATGCAGAACAGGATCGATGTCAGGGTCCGGGAGCTCAGCACTTATGACTTGATCAATTTGGTTGGGTCTGATCTTCTCTCTCTCCAGCCACAAAAGCAGGTGAGCGTGTGGCAAGCCGCGTTTTTGCCATTCCACAGAATACATCGGACTGCACCAAACACCTTTGCCTTTGTGAGAAGATCCATGAGACACTTCAACTTTAGATGGAACACGCGAGAGATCAAGTCATGTCTGTCGTACGAAGCCTGTCCTGAAAGGAGTTCAGATGTGATTTCAGGCCACTTAGGGTTAGTAGTGATGGTAATGAAGAGGTCCGGGCGACCAAACTTTCGCACGTAACAAAACGCGTCTTGCGTCCTCTCGTGCATGTACCGCGGACCTCCTGTGAAGGTGGAGGGTAGAATGACCATCCTTCCTACATCTTGAGCATTTGCATCGTGATGCATGGCATCCCTGAGATGGACGTAGTTCTCAGCTCTCAGCTTTCTTTGGTTGGACCTTATAAATACCAAACGCTCTGTCTCAATTTTGGCGTACATATCCACCAGAAACTGACTAAAGAGCGTTCGGTAACGGTGGAGATAAGATCCGTCATTTACTCGAAGCTGGATCAAGAAGCTGTAAAACTGCATAGCGGACGTTTTTTTGTTGTAATTCAGGGAGCCTGTCTGGGGATCTACATTATAGTGGGCAAAATGGTAGCCATCCTCTCCGCGACAGAACATAAGAGGATATTGAAGAGAATCGTAAGCGCGGTGTGTCTCGCTGATCCTTTGAAGCCGGTCATCATGCGTGCGCAAAACGATATCTCTTTTATCACACTCCTGATCGACTAAGAGAACGGCTACCTCATTCGTCGTTGGTGCATTATACCGCCCGGGATGGGCTGCGATCGGTCTTCTATCTGCGCTGATGACAAACTTAAAGCGGTTGCGCTCGTTCTCAGGCACCGACGCCAAGGCGGCTTTGAAGTTCTCAATGTGTGGATTCACATTATGCAACATACTTTGCAATCCCCTGACCAGACCAGAGTCCAAATTGGGGATGTGTCTGCTTCGCACGTTGGCTTGTTCATCGAAATCGCTAATAAAATAAACTTGCAAAAATTTTGGCGTGTCTGTTGGTAGTAAAGAACCGATTTGATGATAAACCTGCCCCTGTACCTTGAATGTTGGCATGAATCCTGCTTCAACGATTTGATTTGCACCAAACGAAGTCATCTGAAAGGCGCTATTATAAGCTCGGATGTTTTTCAAAAAATGGCTGGACTTTGGATGCTCGCCATTTAATAGGACTCTTAACAGGTCTGGCGGGTCCTGCATAGAGTCCAAGCGGACCTTGCCAGATGCACAACACATCCCATTTGGCTCCCCTTTCCATTTGCGTGCTTGGCAGTGAGCACACACTTCTTCTAAGGCACCAATATTGCCATAAGCGGCGTAGTTAATCGCAACATTGTACATAAATCCACTTCCCTCTTTGTTTAGCCATGGTTGCTCTTCGATATCGTAAACCGTGGATTCCTCATCAGATGTTGAAAGCTGATTTACGTTACGACGCAGGCGATCTTGTTCTACTTGTGCCGCACGCTGTTCGTCCGACCAAGTTCCCCGAATCTCTTGAATTCTGTCCCGTTCTTGTGATAGATGAGTAGACGCATCTCCAAGCAGTTCGTGGTACCGCTGCCGAGCAGCTGCACGACGTTCTTCACGCTGCTCATCTGTCTCTAAAGAACGTGACAGGGCATGCTGAGAGCGGTCTCTTCTTGAGCGGGTCTCCCGTTCTTCATCGTCTTCAATCGACCGAGAAAAAGAAGCGCGGCTCCGCTGCAAACATAACCTCGCCTCTCGTTGCGTGTACGTTTCAGACGCGCGAGAATCAGCGTGGCGCTCCCGATCACTTTCCAGTCGAATTTGTCGCGCTTCGACACTCTCGTAAGATCGAGCGGCATCAGTGCGACTGCGCTGCGAACTTAGTCTCGTCTCGCGCTGCGTATACGTCTCGGATGCGCGAGACTCAGCGTGGCGCTCCCGATCGCTTTCCAAACGCGCTTGTCGTCCGTCAACACTCTCACAAGATCGAGCGACATCAGTGCGGTTGCGCTGAGAACTCAGCCTCGTCTCTCGCTGCGTGAACGTCTCTGACGCGCGTGACTTAGCATGGCGCTCTCGGTCAATTGACAGCCGCATCTTATGTGCTTCTGCACTTTCCTGAGACCGCGACAATGCATTTTGAGTGCGCATGGTATCTAATCGCGACTGGCGCGCCGTACTACATTCTCCTCTTCGAGTCTCTGCAATTTGTTCACGAACAGCAGTCAACCTGGCCTCACGCTCGTCAGCGGTTTCAAGGGATCGAGCTAACCTTCTTTTTCGCGAATGGTATGACGATTGTGATAGATTAGACCGCTTTCTGGGCATTTTTACTACTAAAAGACCAATTAACACGAAGTAAACAGAATAATTTGAGAATCTCGATAACTTATAAACAACGCAGGTAACCCCCGTTTTTATAGGTTGAAGCGGCGACATCGGTACTCATAACATCACTTTTTGTGAACGAAACCATAGCGCGATCTAATTCGACGCCAACACCATCTAGTTAGGAAAATGGAAACATTTTTAAATGGTAAACAATAATAATTTCTCAATTACGACTGAATACGTTTTCAACGTGAAAAAAACGTAACCGCATATGAATAAAAAAAAAATGCTAGTTCTTCATCACACCTATGTTTATAATTATACACAAAAATATTGTATGAATTCCGAAGCAACAATTTTACCAATATAAGTCTATGTTTTATTTTATATTTCATTTTTTTTGTGTCTAGGTTTGTGATAGCACGTCCTGTCAAACAACCTGCTTACAAACGTCATTTAAATGTGTATGAGGTAAAACTACATGCTGCTTCAGTAAGGTTTACAGATATAAAGGTTCATTACTCATCCCCCGTAGGTGATAGCGTGATAATATGTAGCCTATGTGTTGAACCGACCTATCAGTTATGTTCATGCAAAATTTCAATTTAATCCATGCAGTGCTTTTTGAGTTTATCCGTAACAAACATACAGACAAACAGACAAACAGACAAACAGACAAAAATTCTAAAAACCATATTTTTGGCTTCAGTATCGATTGTACATCACGCCCCAAGTATTATTTCAAAAATATATTCAATGTACAGTTTTGACTTTCCTACGATTTTATTATATATATGTATAGATTGGTACTTGTGTCAGTTGGGAGTTGTCATGCTCACTCAGGAGTCTCATTGGCGGTGGCACGGGCACTGGACCGCTCGGTTCCCTATAATATGGTTGAGTTGGGCGGTGCTGGTGTACGTGTCATGTTCGTGAACAGACGCCGCCGGACTGGTCAACTCGAGACTGTCTAAAGTTGCTGTCCCTGAGGTTCATTTCTTTTTCGGATCCTTTGGTTAAACACTAGTGTTACACTGTTCTCACATAATAGAACTATCTAAATTATGTAACAATGCATTGTAAAAAGTGATTTAAAAAGAGTAACCATGGAGTTTCTTGCTCGTTCTTCTCCATAGGAATCTACACTTTGGAACGAGCAAATAGCTTCACTAGAGGACAGACGGACAGACTGACACATATAAAGTTAAACCTTATGATATCTTTTTGCTTGACGTTCAAAAGTGCCTTTTTTGGTCTATTTGAAATAAAGAATTTGATTTTATTTGATCACATGTGTTGGATAGGACACATTTGTACTTCCCAGAATTTGACCATAAAATTGGACTCATAACATAACTTAATTACAGTCGTAAATGTGGTTCACATTTACAGTAAGCTAAGCTATGCTTCAAGACATGATTAGCAGTGGGAAGCTGGGTTCTAATTAAATCAAACTAAAGCCAAGTGTCGTAAAGACCTACTGGATTTTAAAGATGTGTATTTGTCATGGAAACTAAAACAGCATTTAATGGTATCTATCTTTATCTAAGTTTTTTTTTATATACCTATATATAATAGGTCGGCAAACGAGCAGACGGATTACCTGATGGTAAGCAATCAGCGCCGCCCATGGACACTCGCAACGGAGGAGTTACGAGTGTGTTGCCGACGTTTTAGGGATTAGGAATTTGCAGATTTAGGGATTGAGGAGGGATTGGGGGAGGGGAAGGATTGGGCCTCCGGTAACCTCACTCTGTGGTATCACTCCGGTCGAGCCGACCCATTCGTGCCGAAGCATGGCTCTCCCATACTTAAACTCTCGGCAACGCACTCGTAACTCCTCCGTTGCGGGTATCCATGGGCGGCGTTGATTGCTTACCATTAGGTAAAAAATATTTCCTTGTGGAAATAGGGAATCGATAGTTTTTCGATGTTGTTTAGTGTAACTTTTGTTTTCTAGTCTCGAGTGAGACGGATTTTAATATTGTATCTGCTCCATGTATATGATAATGAATGTATTGAATTTGCTGATCTGCATGTAGGGTAGAAACATGGTGACAGAAATCGGACCTCTTTAAAACTGGAACACCTTTGCAAAGCACGATGTTATTGTCAGAATTTTTAAATTTCCTTTATGTTTGAAATCTACCTGACTTTATTGAGTAAGATTTATTAATTTTGATCTCTCCTTTAAGTATGTAGGTAGTGGGTATATTCAACAGGATACTATGCATTCGCCAAATATTAATCTAACGCGCTGGAGCTACAACAGAAATATATAGGTACCATCTTGGTTCGCCTACTGTAAAGACTGACTGTTATGACTAATAAGCTTTGAAAACTTAAAGGTTATATATTGACCATCAGAACCCTTAGCATGAGAAGCAAAATTACTTAAAAGAATACACTCCGTAACTCAAAGGGCAAGGTACAAGGTAACAAATGATTTCTTCGCACTTTCAGGCGATTAGCAACTCACTCGGTTCATTTTGTTAATGGTGTAGTTATACCGATCGGCCCTTAATACGGTATAATTGAGACGAGTAGGTATAATGAGTTTGTTGCCTTATTTATTACTCGCTAGCCACGAACTGTGATTTTGTTGTGAAGATTTTGTAGTGTTTTTTTTTTTTTGTGAGGGGAAAATCATCAAATGACTTCTCCCGCCCAGGGCCGGGCAGGAAGGAGTGTCAGACTCTTACTGACTAAAAACCCCCCTGTTCCTTCTCCTGCTCTGTGCCGAGGTCGCGGTACCTCATTGCGCTTACCTCGCAATAGTGTGGAAGTGTTAAATTGGTATAGTGCTATTATTATACGATAGCACGGTAAAAAAGTACATTTAAGTATTGGGGATTAGGGGATTGGGGGTTTAAGAATTGGGGATTAGGGAATTGGAAGGATAGAGGATTGAGCCACTAATAACCTTACTTACACGACTAAATATAACACCAGTTTTCTGTGAAGCTAGTGTGTAATTAATTTTTTCTTAATTTTTATATGCTACTTAGCATATATGCGAAGTACATCTATAATAATATTATAAAGATGTAAAATTTGTAAGTTTGTATGTTTGTAAGTTTGTATGTAGGGGTAATCTTTGGAACCGCTCTGGTCGGATTGCCAAAATTCTTTCACTGATAGATAGCTACAATATTTCTGAGTGCTATAGGTGTAACCTCCACCCGTTTGATTCCCACCTACGAGGTGATACAAATAAAAAAACAGGTGTGTACCTTATAAAAAAAAATATATTTTACAAAAAAACACAGCCGGAGGCACACAAAGATTTGTGGGTCGTAGGTTTAAATTTGTCTGAAGTCACTTCTGCAGGGATAGGTACTCCCCTGTAGTTGTGGCGAAATCCTGCTGCTGGCCGGAGATGGATGGTGATGGTAGTGAAGGTAGGCCGAGACGATGGTGAGAGGATGGAGACGGTACGGATGGGGGCGCGGTGCTGCACGAAGCTATCGCGTCGGCGAGACCTCGGCTCGTAGTGACCGAACACCAGATTACTGCCGCTGGCGTCTTATAGCCGGGTGGAAAAACCTGGAATCACCGTTCGAGGTAATCAGAACTCGGCCTAATAACTTCCGTGCTGGAGTACCACCGACGACAACGAAGAAGAGATGCCTATCTAATTGTAGTACCGTAAAACGGGGTGAATAGAATTTGAGGGGTGAATAGATACACGAAAGGGGTGAATAGATATTGGCGAATTTTCCTAGTATCTATTCACCCCTCTTCCTTGTCTATTTACCCCTCGAATTCTATTCACCCCATTTTACCGTTAGCATTGACGTGGCGGCAATAAAGAACGGAGTTCACAAACAAAAAAAAAAATTAAACAGAATTAACAGTCACAAAAGTTAAGAATTATTTAAAATTTTGAGTTCGAATGATGCAACATTTTTTTTTGTAATTTACTAATGCTTTTCTTAACTATTGCCAGCTATAGCTTTGTACATTAAGCCATGCAAAGCCAGTTATACAGCCAGAATAAGCACAGCGGCACATGGAAATAAAAAATGGAAGTATGGAAAGCTGCAAATAACACAACATTAAGCACAAAGCTGTAAATGATTACATGAATGATATGAATTCGTGTGCTATTCAAAACTTACCCTAATTCGGGATTTCCACACAACAAATATACTGAATCACTTGATTTAAAATTAATTAATTTTCAAAATTAAACGGCCGTGTCTGCTAGGGCGCTTGCCTCGACGGAAATTCGTAGGAGGACAGCGTACGCACCAGTCTAGAAGCGACCAGCGAATGACACTCAATGTTACTACGGCGCTGCGCTCGCGCCGCTGCATCGATCGAAACCCTTCGTTCCGTTCATTCCGCGCGTTCCTAACCCGCGCACAAACAAAGACTTTAAAAATCATTATAAAACATCACGCTACGATCAAATGGAGCTGAGCAGCGGGTGAAACAGCGCGAGAGTAGCTAGTAGTGAACAAATAGGATCATATTAGATGTGCAGAATTACCCCATAAATTGTTTTGAATTAGCTTGATAAATGCGACATTTGCTTTAACCGGTTACATCTAATAAGATTTTAATGGCACCTAATTGGTTACATTTAATATTTAAATACCTATTAATCAGTTCATACAAGCGCTTATGCGGCACACGAAAATGAGTCTTAAAAACATAATACTACACTTATTCATATTTATTAAATAATTTGAAATGATCATAAGAATTAAAATGTAATGTCTAGAGATTAATGGTGAAAGGATTGGGTAATTTTCTTTATGATAATGTTTAAAGGATTTATTGTGTTAAATTGAACCTTATGTGTATAGTTGTAATGATCAGGTTATAATACCTTCTGGTCTTAGAGATTCAGCTGAGCATTATATACAACATATATTATAGCAACATATAAATAATTATTTTGGTTTCTCATAAACTGCGATATTTTTATGTTGGTAATGTTTACAACATTCGCCAAGACTCATCCTTCCCACCTGACATCAGTTCCCGAA